CACAATTTACTCAGGAACGGCGCTCCCGCTTGAGATTTCCTCGCAATTGAGTCAAGACTTCCTCGCAATTTAATCCAGACCCCCGCTCCCGCCAGAGAACCCTTCACATGTTATTCAGGAATTGCGCTCTCGCCTGTGACTTCCATGCAATGTATGCAGAAATCGCGCTTTCGACGCTCAGGAAACACGCTGCGCCAAGGACGCCGTTACAATTTACTTCGTAATCGCGCTGTCGCCATACTGAGGCATCCCGCTTGAATGTCCCACCCGCCCGACCCGCCCGTCAGGGGATCGCCCGCCCGTCGTGGGCTCCCGCCCGAGGCGTCCTTCAGGAACGGCGCTGTCGCTTCGGACTTCCTCGAACGTACGTTCACGCTCTTGCCTTCCTGCTCCTCCCTCCCTCCTCTCCTCCCTTCTCTCTCCCTCCTCTCTTCCCTCATCCTTGTGCCTCTCTGCCCTATCCCCTCTCCCTCTCCCTCTCCCTCCTCCCTCCCGTCTCCTGCCTCCTCCCTCCTTTATTTCTCTCTCTCTCTCTCTCCCCTCTCTCTCTCTCTTTCTCTACCTCTCTTACATGTCTTTTTTTTTCCTCTCTCTCTCTCTCTCCCTCTCTCGCTCTCTCTGCCTCTAATCAACCGCACCCCTCCTCGCTCCTTCTCTCCTGGCGTTTTTCCTTTTCCTTCGTCCCTCCCCCTCCCTTCCTCCCACTTTCCCTCGTTCTCCCCCTCCTCTTTTTGAATGGCCCACACCATTCCGATGGTGGGCACATGTACGCCCACGAAGGATTGTCCGCCCGTTCAGGTTTGCCCGCCTGCCTAACCCCGCCGCCCCCCGCAAAGAGAACTAATCCCCCCCAGGGGGTGTGATCGAAGACAAAAAGGGCGGGTATCGAGGGTGTTGGGAGCTCGTTTTGAAGTTCACACGGGCAACTAAGAGCGAACATTTTTTATAATGATTGTTGTTGTTGTTGCTGTTGATGTTGTTATTGTTTTTTATGTGTGGTGGTGTTGTTGTCGTTGTTGAATCTTCATTTGTAAAGAATAGTTATGGTTGGTCTCCGGAAACGGTTCCGCGCGCGTCTCAGTGGCGGAACTCGCATGGCGGCCCCGGCTGCACGCTTCGTGGCCCCATGGGGGCTCCACCTAAGGTCCCAGTGGCGGAACTCTCATGGCGGCGTCGCCCCATTTTGGCACATGCCTCACACGCTTCGTGGCCCCATAGGGAGCTCCACCGACGGCTCCAGTGGCAGGTGCGCACCATGCGCGAAGGCGACGGGGCGAGGGAAGTGCGCTCTAGGGCAGTTTACGGCCAGACTTGCTGGACGCGGGCAGTCCGAAGCCAGATCTCCATTATGTGGACTCTCGCCCTGGGCCTTCGGCTGCCCGGCGCGCTGTTCCTTCGGCCGACGTCGCCAAGGCGTGAGCCTGGACTGCGGCCGCCACGAGGTCGGGAACGGCAAGAAGGAGGACGACGTTTGGTGGCTGGAGCTCTACGCGCTGCTCTCGCGCGCCACGCGCCACGAGGACCTCCTGCTCACGCGGGCGCCGCGCATCGAGCTTTCCCCGGCTAGGCGGCCAGAGAGCTTGCGGAAGCAGCTGGAGCAGTTTGCGGCGCGCACGAAGCGGCGCAGAAGAGAGGCGACGGTCCTCGCCAGTGAGCTGGGCTTCACCGAGTTTATCCGCGAGGCTAGCGGCCCGCCCGAACCTCGCCATCTCTCGGCGATCTGATTGTTTGGCCTCGCACCGCGGGCGACCCGCGCGCGTCGCTGGGGCCCTCTTGGAGCGACCGGCGCGCGTCGCGGGAACTCCGCGTCGCGCTCTGCCCGGCGCCTCGCTCGCCCCCGTCGTCGCTCTGCTGCCGGCGGCCAGAGCCTCGCCCGCTATCGGCCACCCAGCTAGCTTTGTTTGCTCCGCGCAGTGGACGACCCGCGCGCGTCGCGGGGGCTCCGCGCGGCGCCGCGCCCGCAGCCTTGGACGCTGGCGCGCGCGGGCAAAAAGGCAGAATAGGAAAGGGAAGGGAGCGGGCGCGATCCTCGCGAGGGGCGCGCCGACATGAGCGACGATATTTACGCGCGCAGATTCACGCGCGCGAAGACTCATTCACAATCGGACTCACTCGCGATCAGACTCATCTGCTCTCAGTCTCTCGCGCAGGCGCATCGCCCTCGTTCGCGCTGCGCGCCCCGCCGCGGAAGTCGGCGCGCCCCCCGCGCGATTCGTGGCCCCGCAGGAGGCGCGGGTGAAGATGATGTTCGCGATTGCGGTATTCGCAATTGCGCGCGGTTGGGCCCTTCGCCAGGCTAGTTCTTCAAGGAATGTCACTGGGCCCAAATTGCGTTTCGTCGTTCGCCCCCGGGTTGCAACGACAGAGGCCCCCACCTGAGATTTCTTTACAATTTAGCCAGGACCCCCGCCCCCGCTTGGGACGTCCTCGCATTTTACTCTGGAATCGAGCTCTCGCTTGGAATTTGCTTGCAATGTATTCAGGATTTTTTCTCTCGGCGCTCTGGAGTCGCGCTCTCGCTGGAGACTTATTTGCAATTATCTTAAGAATCGCGCTCTTGCATTGGACTTCCCGGCAATTTATTCAAGCGCCGCGCCCCCGACATTCGGGCATCCAGGAGTCGCGTTCACGCTTGGGGATCCCTCGCAGTTTTTTTCGGAATCGGGATCTCGCTGCCCTTCGCGGCCCCGTTGTAGCCCTTCGTGGCCATTTCGCTGCCCTTCGGGGGCCCGTTGCAGCCCTTCGTGGCCCCCTCACTGCCCTTCGTGGCCCCCGTTGCAGCCCTTCGTGGCCCCCGTTGCAGCCTTTCGCGGCCCCCTCGCTCCCCTTTGTGGTCCCGTTGCAGTCCTTCGTGGCCCCCTCGCTGCCCTCCGCGGCTCCGTTGCAGCCCTTCGTGGCCCCCTCGCTGCCCTTCGTGGCCCCGTTGTAATCTTTCGTGGCCCAGTCGCTGCCCTCCGTGGCCCCGTTGCAGCATGTTGCAGCCATTCGTGGCCCCGTCGCTGCCATTGGTGGCCCCGTTGCAGCCCTTTCGTGGCCCCCTCGCTGTCCTTCGTGCCCCCTTTGCGGCCCTTCGTGGCCCAGTCGCTGCCCTCCGTGGCCCTATATATGTGTGCCCTTCGTGGCCCCCGCTCGTTCGCGCTCGTCGTGGCCCCATTGCATGCGCTTCGTGGCCCCGCTGTCGCCCTTCGTGGTCCCCTCGCTACCCTTCGTGGCCCCGTTGCTGCCCTCAGTGGCCCCGTCCTTGCCCTCTGCGGCCCGACTTCGTGGCCCCCGCTCGTTCGCGCCCGTCGCGGCCCCATATTCATGCCCTTCGTGGCCCCGCTGTCGCCTTTTGTGGCGCCGTCGCTGTCCTACATGGCTCCTTTGCTAACCTCAGAGGCCCCGTCGTTGCCCTTTGTGGCCACGCATTATCCGCCTTTCGTGGCCCCCGTTCGTTCGCGCCCTTCGTGGCCCCATACGCATGTCCTTCGTGGCCCCGCTGTCGCCCTTCGTGGCCCTCTTTTCTGCCCTTCGTGGCCCCGCTCTCGCTCTCGCTCGTCGTCGTCGTCGCCGTCGCCGTCGCCGTCGCCGTCGTCGTCGTCGTCGTCGTCGTCGTCGTCGTCGTGGTCGGTCCCCTGTCCGTCCCCCTTGGGGTCGTGTTGCCGCCGATCAGCGCTGCCGCCTGCGCGGTCGACGGTCTGCGGCCGCCTCGCCGCTTGCCAGTGCCTGGCCTTGACGGAAGAAATATATCCCCCCCAACCCAAAAAAGGTGCCTGATCGAAGACGAAGATGGCGTGCGCGTGCATCGAGGGTTGAGGAAATACATCTTGAATGACACTCGAGCAGGAAAGAGCGGACAGTCTTGAAATGATTGCTGTTGTTGATGTTGTTGTTGTTGTTGTTGCCTTGTCTGCTGTTGCGTTGTTTGTTGTTGCGTTGTGTGTTGTTTGTTGTGTGTTGTCGTCGTCCCACCCGCGACCCGGCCCGCGTTCTGGCCCGCGACCCACCCGCGACCCACCCGCGACCCGGCCCGCGACCCATTCACGACCTTCCCGCGACCCACCCGCGATCCACCCGCGACCCACCCGCGACCCACCCGCAAACCACCCAGGACCGACCCGCGAACCACCTAGGACCAACCCCGCTACCCGCCCGCGAGCCACCCGGGACCCACCCGCGACCCACCATCATTGTTTGGCCGAAAAATTCGGCGTTTGCGGCGAGTTTGCGGTAGAATTTGTTTAAACAAAAATCGGTGCTTGCGGTAGGTTTCTTCGGGGCTTCGCAGACTGCCGACGACTCTGCCGCTCCCTCACTCTTAACTTGACAGCAACTGCTGGGTGCTACGTATGTGGCATATTCACATCACATCTTCCCGACCCGAGTATCGCGATTTTGAGCGTCGTCTGCTCTCAACTGGACTCGGGAAAAAACTACCCCCTCCGAAGGTGCGCATCCTTTCTTGTCTAAGGTTCCGCTCACGCCCCAACAGCCCTCCCACACCCTGCCCACTTCCACGCCTGGCTCCGCCTCCCCACCTCGCCTGGCTCCGCCCCCCTTGGCCTCCCCACCTCGCCTGGCTCCGCCTCCCCAGCTCGCCCGGCCCCGCCCGCGCTGTGGGCTCGGGGGTTCGCAGAAGGGGGGGGGGATTATCCCATGGTGGGGTGAGGGAACATGCCCGGCCTGATACTCGCCGCCCCTCCTCTCACGGGCCGTTCTGGGCGATTGTGTTGGATAGCCTCCGGCCAGTGCCGCCGATCCGGTCTTCTCTGGATGCTCCCCCCCTCAACTCTCCCCCCTGCTCCCTCTCGCGGGCCGCTCTGCGCGATTCTCTTGCACCCCCCCCCCCCCGACGGGCCTCGCCCTCCCTCCGGTGGACCCCCCGGGGCCTCGCCCTCCCCCCGATGGGCTTCCGATGGGCTCCGCCCTCCCCGCGGATGAGCTCCCCGCGATGGGTTCCGCCCTCCCGATGGGCTCCGCCCTTCTCCCGATGCGCCTCGCCCCCCCCCCCCCCCCGCGCGATGGGCTCCCCGCTGGGCTCCGCCCTCCCCCGCGGTGGGCCTCGCCCCGCCTCCGCCCCCCCCCCCCGACGGGCCTCCGCCCCGCCTCCGCCCCGCGCATCTCCCGCCTCCGCCCCTCCGCCCGCTGGGGGCGGGCGGCGGCGCCCAGGCCTGCAGCGGGCCGGCCCCGGAGGGGTGCCCCTGACCGACGTGGTCGTGCGCGTGACGGGCGCGGAGGCGAAGGAGGAGGGGGGAGGAGGGGGAGGGGGGGGAGGAGGAGGAGGAGGGGGAGGAGGAGGGAGGAGGACAGGAGGAGGAGGAGGGGGAGGAGGAGGAGGAGGAGGAGGAGGAGGAGGAGGAGGAGGAGGAGGAGGAGGAGGAGGAGGAGGAGGGAGGAGGAGGAGGAGGAGGATGGAGGAGGGAGGAGGAGGAGGAGGAGGAGAGGAAGGAGGAGGGGGAGGGGGAGGAGTGGAGAGAGTGGAGAGGAGAGGGAGGGGGAGGAGGGGGGGGGAGGAAGGGGGGAGGGGAGGAGGAGAGGAAGGAGGAGGAGGAGGAGGAGGAGGAGGAGGGGGAGGAGGGAGGAGGAGGAGGAGGAGGAGGAGGAGGAGGAGGAGGAGGAGAGGAGAGGAGGAGGAGGAGGACAGGAGGAGGTAGGAGGAGGAGGAGGAGGAGGAGGAGGAGGAGGAGGAGAGGAGGAGGAGGGAGGAGGAGGAGGACAGGAGGAGGGAGGAGGAGGAGGGAGGGAGTGGAAAGGGGGGGAGGGGGAGGAGGGAGGAGGAGGGGAGGAGGGGGAGGAGGGGGAGGGAGAGGGGAAGGACTCAGGGTAGGACAGGAGGAGGAGACAGAGGGAGGGGGTAGGATCATGATGCTGGATGCTGGATTTGGCTTGTCTCCATAGAGGCAGGTGAAAAGGATGAAGCGCAAGGGTCATCTGCACGCATTGGCCATGCAGCCGGGACACAGTGTTCGTCCTTCCCAGCATGACTAACAACATCCCAACCGACAAAAAACAATGACGTCGTCATCGCCCCGTGCCATGCTGGGCTAAACACGGGAGCTCGGCTAGGGTATTCTTGCGTCGGTTGGAAAACCAGGACGCCACGCAGCGGAAACGCTGGACATGTCCCAGGCACTCCCCGATGACGGAAGACCAAGAAGAGGGCGGAAGGAGGAGGGGGAGGATGAGCACGAGGACGGGGGAGTCCGTCTAATGTGGCTAAGGTTTTGCCAGCCATGTTGGTAATGAGCATGCCGAGGCGTTCCACAACGGTACTTACTAGATTGCCAGAGGTGTTGCGTAGCATGCAGATCCGCAGGATGCAACTTAGTCCATCGTCGAACATATTCATGGTCTAAACTTTTCCACGCCGCCTCAGCATGCGACATGACATCGAGATATTGGCAGTTACCTTGCGCACCGAGATTGAATATGCCGCCAGATATCGGCGTGAGGGGCGCAGCCCGAAGCGGAGTGGCATTCGTAGGTTGGCCACGCATCGACAACCCACTGGCCGTAGCCAAATCTTTCAGAACGTCCTCTTGGGTCAGGAGCCGCATGGAGCAAGATCATCAACAGCGTCATATGTTCGGACCGCCGAATGCCAAGGTGGATATGTTGGGAACCTCTGACAAACTTGCTCCACCTGCGCCAGCAAGCCGAACGAGCACCGATCTCCCCACAGGACAGAATGTAGTGAGGGAGGGTGGGACAGGAAGAGGAGCAGGCTGTGCAGGATGAGGAGGAGCAGCAAGAGGGAGGAAGAGAGGGATGGAGAGCAAGGAGAGGAGGGGGAAGAGAAGGAGGAGGGAGCATAGCGAGCGCGCGCCCGGGCGCGGAGGCGAAGTGCGCCGAAACGGCGGCGAACGCGGCGGCCGCTGCAGTGGAGGTCACCCCCGCCTCTCTCGCTGTTACTCCTCGTTCGCGGCCTCTTCTTCCTCTCCCTCGTTCTTCCCTTTCCCGCGAGGATCGAGGATAAGCAGGAGAACGAACTTGTGTGGTAGTGGTGGTGGTAGTGGCAGTGGCAGTGGCAGTGGCAGTGGTAGTCGTAGAAGTCCCAGCGGTAACAGTATTCGGTATCATTCTTATCAGAAATCGCTGTCGCAGTCACTACTAGTAGTTATCGAAGACACCTACGGCTAATCACCGCCGCCCCCGTGCCCTTTGGAATCGCCCATGTGGCCGAACGTTGTGGCCAGAACTCTGCCAAGTTATCGAACCATGTGTTCCCGCAATCCGTGAGAATCTGGCAAACAAGCACCCGCCCTCAATCCGTGAGAATCTGGCAAATGTTTAAAACGAATGTTCGCGGCGCTAAGGCGACCCGCCCTCCATATGTGAAAGGGTTGCCAATGTTTAAGCATCAGGGTTATCACAGGTGAGGAAGTCTCAGGCGAAATGCCCGGCCCGCCCTTTCGACCAGCCTCGGGGCGCGACAGGGAGGAGTTATCTATAAGGAAAAGGAATGGAGGCGGAGGAGGAGGAGGAGGAGGAGGAGAAGGAGGAGGAGGAGGAGGACCACCAGAAGGAGCCGGAGTTGTGCAGCTAGCCAGCTCGAGCGAGTCCCCGGGCCCCGCCCACCCCCACCCGACCCCCTGCAGCATAAGAATCTGTGCTGGAGCCACTGGATGTTGAGATCGGCGCGAGCTCGCACCTCGCGAGCGGAAGACGCTCACGCGCGCGCGGTCCCGCTTCCGGCGACGTGGCGAAGGGCAAGCGCTGGCCGCGCGCCAGCAGAAGCGAAGCCCTCGGGGATGCGTGCGCGGCGCCTCGACGAGCGCACCATTCCGCCCTCTCGCCGGCGGCCGCGTTTCCGGCAGGGCTGCCGAAGACAGAGAGTGCGCCACGCTCTGGCGGGAACGCCACCTCTCAGACAAAGTCTGCACGGCGGCTTTGGCAAGAGCGATGCTTCCCCCGCTCTCGTGCAGCCCCGCTTCCGCTTCCGACGAGCTGGTGGCCGAGAAAACGCTGGGCCCAGCCGGGAGCGCCACTTTGAGACGGAATATGACCGGCGCGTGGGCGAGAGGGACAATCGCCCGCTTGCGCGCGGCCTCGCTTCCGACGAACTGTATGCGGCGCGGCCCAGCGGGAACGCAGTTTTCAGCCAGAGTGTGCCCGGCGCATGGGCGAGAGTGATAATTCGCATGCTCGCACGCACGGACTTGTGGTACCGTGTAGTGGGACCTCTGGGACTTGTGCGACCTCTGAAACCCGTGACATGTGGGGCCTGTTGGACCTGTGGGACTTGCGGAGCCTGCGGGACCTGTAAGGCAAATTGGGACTGTGGGACTCGAGCGACCTGTGGGACCGTTGGGACCTGTGGGTCCCGTGTGACCTGAGGAGCGTGTGCGACCTTTTGACCTTGTGGGACCGGTGGAACCCGCAAGACCTGTGAGACCTGTGGGGCAGTGGAGCAGGTTGGGACTGTGTGGGACTTGAGCGACCTGTGGGACCTGTGGGATCTGTGGGGCCCGTGTGTCCTGTGGGACGTGTGCGACCTCTTGGACCTGTTGGACCCGTGGGGCCCGTAAGACCTGTGGGACTTGTGAAACTTGTCTGACTTGTGAGACCTGTGGTACCTGCGGGACCTGTGCAGCCTGTAAGACCTGCGGGATTTGTGGGCCTGGACGTCAAGTCAAGTCAAGTCCAGTCGAGGGGCCTGGAGCCCGCTCGCTCCGCAAGCGGAGACGGAGGGCGTGAAACAATACGGCAAGAAAACGCGCATGCTAGAGAAATGGTGGATATAAAGATCGATCTACAATTCTATCATACATCATGCGTTCCACTACATGTAATTCAAAAATGCAGTCTCCAACCGCTGCCAGGGGAAAGGCTCTTGGCGACCTACAACATAAGATACACTCGTACCTTGCTCTTGTCCTAAGAAAGAATCGACGGCATCTGTCCATCTACGTCGCGGCCGGCCTCGGCGTCGAACTCCGGTCGGGCGCCATCGTAACACTTGCGCTGGCCACGTTTGCGGGTCACCAGTGGCAAGACGCGCCACAGGCGCCACTGGGAGCGATCCACCACAACGAGCCAGTCTGACACAGGAAAAATGCCGAAAGCGACGCACATTTTTTGCTTGCAACGTCGCCCCGCTTCCTCCCAACTGTCGCTCGGATGCTTGTTGAAACCGACCATCTTGCGCAGCATTTTTGCTCGCGTCGACGCAATCCGCGACCGATCGACTGCTGTCGTGGCTGTCGTCGAGAGACCGTAGACCGCGGTAGGCGTAACAACCGCGTCGAACAGTTTCTAACGAAGGCGCAACGATATGGCTTTATTCAAGAGATCTGTTTTGTGCAAGTGAAACTTGCCCCATGCACACTCCATGCGATAATTTACATTGCAATCTGATCTGCTGCGCAAGTCCCCTCCGCAATTCTTACCGAGATACTTGTTAAACACGTGGGACGTCATGACAGGCAACTGCCATCCGGTCTGAGAGGCTCTTCAACGTTGGACACGGAAACGTCGTTAGTGAACATGCGCGTCCTGTCTGCATTCGATGAGAGGCCGCACGCCGACAATTCTTCCGAAAGAATGTCCAACATGCGAGTCGCCTCTGCGGCAGAACGTGCGCAAGGTAACACATCATCCGCATACCGGATGTTGCTGAGTAACTTGACGTTTCCAATGTCGAAGCCGCATTGCTGAGCTCGGATTCTGAACCTCCGGATTGCGTGCTCCGGTCCAGCGTTGAAAAGCAGCGATGACAAAGCATCGCCTTGTTTGACTCCGCGCGTTATGTCAAACGCTGCGCTGCCATTAACGCTCCCCCATTGGGCACTGTAGATGTCTGACAAGAGACGCACGTATTCTACATCAGCTCCTTGTTCCGCCAACGCTTGGAAAAGCACGTGATGCTCCAGCCTGTCGAAAGCTTTAGTGAGATCAATGCTGGCTACCCACAGTGGGAGCTGCCACTCATTCCTGGACCCCCCACCCACCCAGCCGGATTTGCTTTATTCCTTCCGCCGTGGGGGGCCCTCTTCGCGGCGACCCGTCAAACCTGGGACCTTTGGCGGCGCGTGGATTTCAGTCTTTCTTTTTTTCTTCCGCGCGCGCCTTGCCACTGGGACCCCTGAACTCTTCAGATTAGAGTATAGTATAGCTCGGCCCTGAGTGCACCTGGTGCTAGCGTGTAATAGCGTGCAGGTAATACTAGAAATTGCCGGGTCCTAGAGTACAACATGAAGGGGTGCAATCAGCTGCAGGCGGGAGATCGAGGTGTACCACAGTATAACAAGCAATCTGAGCGCAAGTGCTAGCACAACTTTAGTACAACTACTTCCGGAGTGCTGCTGCAGTGCAATTGTAATCTGAACTCTCGCGGTTTCCCTCTGGTTGCGCCAGGGGGGGGAGCCCCACACGCGAGTACCCCCGCGGCTGAGAGTTCATTCCTTTTTCCGGAATTTGAGACAGGGGGTAACCCCCGTGCTCGAGCCCATATCGCCAGGGATTCCTTTCCTTTCGCGGAAACCTGACCCCCTGGGTTCTTCGGAGTGCCCCAGAAGTTCTTTTCTTCCGGATGGGCCCCCAGGGGTCCTACGAGTGAGTCGGCCGAAGGATGCTTGGGGCATTTGTGGAACCCGTGGGACTTGCGGGACCTGTGGGGCATGCGGGATTTGTGGGGCTTGTCGGGCGTGTGGGATCCGTGGGACGTGTGAGATATGTGCGGCAGGTACGACCTGCGGGACCAGTGGCGCCCGTGCGACTCGTGGGACCTGTGGGGGACCCGTGGGGGCCCGTGGGACCTCTGGGACCTGCGGGACGCGAGACTTGCAGGACTTGCGGGACCTGCGGGAGTTGGGGAGTTTCGGCGGTCTTTGGGACGTCTGAGACCTGCGAGACCTGTGGGACCTGCGGGGCAGGTGGGAACTGTAGACTTGTGCGACCTGTGGGACCTGCGAAACCTGTGGGACCACTTGTGGGACCTGGGAGACCTCCGTGGTCAGTAGGACCCGTGAGACCTTCGACATTTGTGGGACCCGCGGGATCTGCGAGACCTGTGGGACCTGTGGGACCTGTGGGATGTTTGACACTTGTGGGGCATGTGATACCTATGGGACTTATGGGACATTGGGGACCTCTTTGGCCTGTTGGACTTGAGGGGCATATGGAGCTGTTGGCTAGTGCGACCTATGGGACCTGTGGGACTTGTAGGACCTCTGCGGCCTGTGGGACCTGTGAGACTTGCGACACCTGTGGAACCTGTGGTCCCTGTGGCATGTATGAAACCTGCACCTGTCGGGCCTGTGGGGCACGTGGCGTCCGTAGGACCTATAGAACCTGTGGGACCTGTGGGACCTGTAGAACTGTGTGGGACCTGTGGGGCCTGTGGGACTTGTGGAACCCGTGGGACCTGTGAGACCTGTGGGATTTGTCTGGCCTGAGACAGGCCTGTGGCTCTGTGGGACCTGTGGGATTTGCGCGACCTGGGGGGACCTAGTTAGTTATGCGGCATGCACGACCTGCGGCGACACCTGTGGGACCTGTGGGATGTGTGGCACCTGCACCTTTGGGACATGTGGGGCACGTAGGGCATGTGGGGCCTGTGGAACCTGTGGGGCTTGTGGGACATGTGGGACCGTGGGAACCGTGGGGCCTGTGGGGCCCGTGGAACCATTGGGACCCGTGAGATTTGTGGGACTTGTGGCACCTGTGCGGCCTGTGGGACCCCTGTGGGACCCCTGTGGGACCCCTGTGGGACCTGTGCGGCCCCCACGGCCTGCGGGGCCATGGCCGTCCAGACCAAGAACGGAGCCGGCACTCAGGCGAGAGCGCGATTCCTGAGTCCGTTGTGGGGGAGTCTCGACCAGAACGGCTGCCAGGCCAGGCGCTCTCAGACTCCCTGTTTTTTGTTTCTTTCTCATTCTTTAAAAA